TTAAAATTTATTATTGTATAAAGCTAATAAGCATTTCTTGTTACAGACAAAGAATGCATTACATACAGGGTTTATCTCGCGCATTTTCCTTCAAAATTGGGGAGTATTGATTCAATACAGGATATAATGCTTTTAACGCAATCTTAATATAGAAATTCGATGAAGAAGCTAATGAAGAAGAGATTATAAAAGAGAATAGACGAATTATAAATAAATTGCAAGAAGACGCACCACATTATCATACACGAGCGATGCGAATAAACTATCTACGTACCTGTGATTTACTTCTCCCTAAGGCTAAGTCTTCATCACTTAGGACAATTTATCGAATGTTAACTAGTGATGTCTCTGCAGCTGAGACTACTGATCAAACAAAAATCGATGAACGTATTAAAATTGCTTTAGACCTCAGAGATCCAGAAATTGCAGTTGATTTACGTGAGTACAATAGTGGAAGACCTATAAATATGAGGTTTTCTGGAGAGTTGCGGCCAAGTTTCTTGAAGGAAAAGCAGCTGATGCTATAACTGCAGTAGATGAACGCAGGCATGATCTAATCATGCACCTTGCAACTGCAATATCAGTGAATGATCTTTTGCGTCAAATTGAAAAGAAATGCCTAACTAGAACACCAATCCCTAGCGCACAATGGTTACGATTACAGTTTTGGCCTAAAAATCCAACACAGCTTAGTAGTTTACAATTTACTGGTCGTCTACCCTTAAAATTCATGGTTCAAACACACCAGCTATGTGCTTACCATCAAGATACTCATTACGCATCTGCACTATATCGCTACGAGAAAGAATTTGCTGTAAAATTTTGAGAAATTACAAATTTTGTTTTTATGGATGATAAGCATCGTTGTAAAGTCAGAGAGCCTGAATTTCCCATTGCTGCAGTTGAGAGAGGAAAAAAAGTTGTAGTCAGTAGAGAAACTACATTTGCAGTTGCTAACTATGACTATACTAAAACGGGTATCATACTAAGTATAACAATAATATGTAATATACTTGAATCAATTAATGAAGACTTCTATACTGGCAAAGTACGCATAGGATTAAAGGATCTAATATTTCAACTCTCCTCACCTCTCCGTCATGCAACAGAATTATATAACATACTCCTCACAGAAAATCTAACTAATAAGCCTATACTATGTCTCTATATGGACAGTGATCCAGATCATCATTGCACATATACTCATGTTCAATTATCCTATATTTGTCTTTTTCTCGCTTTAGATCTTGATTATTTTGTTGCTGTTCGAACTCCTCCACAACATTCATGGAAAAACCCCGTTGAACGTATTATGTCAATTTTAAACCTAGGACTACAAAGTGTCAGATTGATGTGAACTAAGATGAATGATCAAGCAGAAAAATTAATAAGTAAAGTTGGCACAATGAGTGAAATTTGTAAAATTGATAACGAAAATAATGACTTTAAAGATGATCTTATTGAAAGTCTTCAGGCCCTAATTAACTTGATCTGTGATGTGTTCAGTCATCAGTCTCTTAAAGGTGAGCTATTCGAAACATTTAATGCAGTATCAGAGATAGAAATAGAGAAATTCTGGGAAATGATTCTGCTTGTGGATGATGACGTTCCCTATGAAAACTTTACTGCAGCTGATATAAAACAAAAAGTAGGTATTGATCTAATTATCTGCTTTAAAAAATATTAAGAATAAAATATTGAAAAATAACTTCTTATTTAAAGCCACGTCTACAGGATTTTTTCAACCATTGTTGCACCTCAAGGCATTACTTTTTTTTAATTAAGAAATGCGGCGAATCGTCCTGTACTATATGCCGGTCTCCTCGTTGTTCACCAGAAGATTTTGAGCAATTGCATTGTTTACCAGATCCAGTACCTGGGGATGATTTGCATTACAAGTCATTTGAAGATATATATGGTATTCGAACGACAGAAAATCATAGACCTTCATTGATAAGGTCTGAAACAAAAACAAAGACAAGCAAAGCAAAAATTAAACATACTATGCCATTTAGTCCCTCTGCCGCACATGCCAAAAATGTTGGTGTCACTGTAAATTGCACTGAATGCGAGAAGCCTCGTCTTCTCTTCAGCGCAAAAAAGCTTTCTGAAAAGGATAAAACTTTGTTGAGAAGATTTTTAGATACTATTTTTTATACCTGTAGTATGTCATTTCATTACATATGTGACCTGGCGATGGTTGTTTTACTGGAGCAGCCAGAAGTTGAAGTAGAAGAGGAAAATATCATGAGTTCTAATGAAGAAGTTAACCAAAATAATATTAATAAAGAGGATAAACCTGATCAATTCGGATCTGAAAGCTCGGAAGAAGATGAGCCTGATGAGAATGAAGAAATTTCTAGTAAAAGTGCAGAAGAATCTGATGAAAATGTAGAAGAGTCTGACACTCATGGCGAGGATTTAATTCATGAACTTTTTTCTAGAGTCTTCATTAATGACTCGTTGTCTTGTAATGCAAATGTCGAAAAGCCCTACTATTCAGCTGGGATCTACTCGGATGTTTGCATCGAATGTGGGTGCCTGAATATCAATAGACCAGCAAAAAATGAGCACCCACATTGTAGCGACTGTGGTGGTAACTCTATCAACCCAAAGAAATCTTCAATGAAGGCTAAGGGTAACAAAAACAAATGAAAGCGCAAATGAAACTATTGAAACTTAGATTTTCTTAAACAAAATATATTATTCTATTTTTTATTGCATTTTCTTGATTTTTTTTCTTCTATT